CATGAATTTTTACAATTGCTGCACGGAACAAATTTCCACCCATTCCTCCCCATTATTTTCTTCATTGACAAATAAAGCAAAGCCAACACTAAGCTCCCGCCAGCCCTTATGAGGTGTAGTTTTAAGCACTGCTGCTTTGAATAACCATGTATGGTTTGATTTTTCTTGTCCCCTTACCCAACCTTCCCCGGCTTGTCCTGTTGGTCCTCTGTCGCCGACCACCGGGCACATGGGCCAAAATAGTGGCGAAACAATGTCAGCATTGCAGGGAGGGCCAAGATGATGGCCAGGAAGCCATTTGAGCATATTCGGGCATTTATTCTGGGAAGGGGGGCGCGAATGGCATTATACAAAATGGCTGGCGACATGATTTCGTGTTTCCTTATAGCTGGCGATTCTGGTTAGCGGGTGCATGGGCCAAAATAATGGCCAGGATAAAATCGCCGCTCGTGGGACTTGGCCTGGCAGTACTGGCTGCCACAGCCCGCAGTCAAAGAATGCTTTGAGTCGCTTCGATGCTGGCAGCCAGTAGTGCTTTGCGTGTGGCGTTGGTATGCTGGGGGATTGCTGTACGTATGCGTTTGAGTCACATTTGATGTCGCCCATGATGTGTATTCTTCGAGTCCGACGACAGCGCCCAGACTTTGTCATTTGCGACCTCAATGTTCACAGGCGTAAACCAAGACCAGGCGCTTGTTTGCGAGTTTGCACGTGGTTCAAGTTGTGATGCGCCGCCCTGCCTTGCGCTTTGTTCGCTTGATGCTCTTGACAAGTTTCGTTGTGGCAGCCGAGTTCCGGGATGTCCGTGTCTTTGACAATGCCTATCATGCCAAGGCGACGGCAATGGGCTTGCTCGCGACTTGGTGGTGTATGCAATTGGGAAGAAGTTGAGGAGAGACGAGAGGGAGAAAAATAGAATTGGACCGCGTGATTTTGGTTGGGCTGGAGAAGATTTGCCCGTTTTGTTGGTGGCAGGTTCCTCCTGGTTTGCGCAGATCCTGGCTTGCGCTGCTGAGAATGAAGGCCGCTAGCCCCTGCGAAGGGGAACTAGAGTGAGACTGTTGCAGCGCGTGCCAGCGCGCGCCTTCCAGCACATATTTCTTGAGCAGGCGACGAACATCCAGCGCGTGGCAGCTCGTGCTTTTTGCGTCGTTAAGCTTGGAGCATGCGCCCTTCAGGGTTGCAGCTTGGGAACACACCCTCCACTACATGTTTGGGCGCCTGTATTGATGGTGACCTTCCTTTGACCAGGCGACCCTGTTCGCGGGCTTTTTCCAACACTGCGTCAACATATAGGCGCCAGGCCGCCTTCCAAATTATCCAGGCAACTCTATTCGCGGTGTTTTTCAACACGGCGTCAATATGGAGCACATGCTCCTCGCTGAGCCTTTACTTGTATGATGCGATTGTAACCTGCAGGCGGCCACATTCTCATTTTTTTGGCAGCATTGCTATTGGTATTTTCTTGCGCCTTGGCGATGAGTGCGTTTGGGTAGAAAAGAAGACAATGCATGCCTAGTTGTGTTGCGAGAAGTTGGTATTTTTTGGTTTTACATGTCTATGTGCACGAAGAAACTGTAAATGCACATACACACAAAGAGACTCGATTTAGTTTATCTTGCTGACAGTTTGTTTTGAGACGCTGGCATATATTTTAGTTTGTTTGCTGGAGCGTGTGCTTTGATATATTTTGCTGGGGCGCTTTGGCGCGTGCTTTGGTTTATTGAGCGCTACTCCGTGGCTTGAGCGCTACTGAAAGCTTTTGCGTGTTCCTGATTTTTACTGCGAGCTCGACCGAGCGCGCGCGTGTTGGACATTTTGAGCGCAGCACCATGACTTAGCTGGTTTGGAGACTGGCTGAGGGCGCAAGATCAAGTGCATAAACACGCCCAAGACGCCGAAAAGAACCTTAAGCCACCCTATAACCAAGAACCGGCCTAAAGTCCACATTAAGCCAGCGCAAAAGCAAACTGCGCCAAACCTATTCTTAACCCTCGCCGACCAAGCCGAAACCAACCCTAAACCCAACCTGAAGAAGTCGCAGGCCCACCCAAGCTTGCCCTACAGAAGCCCCAGCCGCTGGTGGTGCTGAAGGTGTTGAAAAAGGTAAGCTGGCGGCTGGCGCAACACGAGTGAAACAGTACGGCAAAATACGGCATTGCAGCGTCGGGAGCGCAAAATCAAATGCCTGACGAACAAACAATCCCGCATTCAAACTGGATCCCTCCTTTTTGTATCTTGCACAGAGACCCCCCCCCACGGTTTTTCCCAGCTTTGTATATCCGCATGTACATGTCTCAATTGGGAATTGGCCCTGGGCAGCCAGACAGGAGTTGGATTCCCCCCCCCCCCCCCAATTTAGAATCCAAATAGAACAGGGCTCCTTGAAAGATACATTTTGCCAATTTGAACATGGCAATTTTTCAACACCAAGATAAGGGGAAACCACCATTGACAAGTTGCAATGTTCAGGTGTTTTTCATGTAAGGATCCCTGTTTTTGGTGCAACTACCACCAGAAGCTTTCGTTTACCCTGCAGGGGATGGGCCTAAGTCCAGGAACCCTAAAATTCTCAACTACCCACCCCCTCTGTATCTACCCCTCGTCAAGATTCGGAATGCTTTTGATTGGTGAGTTTGGTCAGAACTGGATGGGTTTCACTGGTTCACCTGTGCGCAGTGGTAGAACCCAAAGCCCATCACCCCCAGCCCGTTGCATCGGCTTCTTCGCGAATGGCGGGAGGCGGCGCCCGCGGTCGCGGCGCATGCACGAGCTTGCCCGGAACCCATGCCGGTGGTGGCTTCCTTGGGGAGTCTACCAGTCGGTGTTTTTTTCAGGTATTTCAGGGGAGTCGACCGGGGGTCGTTTTTTTTTTACCCCAAACAAGAATGGGCTTTAAGGTGACAGAATTTGGGAAGGAGACGGCGTTTTTGGTCGGCGAGGTCCTTCCTTCAAAGTGGGGGTGGGGGAGCCAAGCGACATCGAACGTCTAAGGCATGATTTGCTAGCTCCACGCGAGGTTTGGACAAAAGAGCTCAAGTAGTCACCCAAACTGAGTGTCCAACCCCAAAAAATGGTGGACACCCTTTGGGTTTTGATGGTAGTCTATAGTCGATTGTCGATTTGAGGGAGGGACTTGCGGGATTTTGTTTGAATTTCAAAGGCCACAACGGGAGGACTGTCTGCAATGCTCATGCTCGATCGCAAACTGGGAGAAATGACTGGGCTCCTATCTTAGTCTTTATTTGAGTTTCGTCAGTATGCCAGTAGTCTATAGTTAAGAGAGCGGGTAGAGAAGGGCGCGCCGCTCCAAACCAAGAGAGAAGCTGATTGACAGCGGCCAGCGAAATTTCTCAGGCGGACGCCGCAGTGAACAACGCGCAAGAAGGCGCGAGAGCCGCGCAGAGAGTTTTAATGTTGCGCTCCCTCGGAAAAGCGAGAGCATGGTGAAGGTCCTTTTCCAGGGCCTCTTCCTTTTGTCAATTTCTGGTGTGATTTTGTGGGTATTGCAAGGGGTTTTGAGGCCTTATTTATTTCTTAATTTGCCTTTGGCATCTTCGTGCGGGCTGGTTTTGTGACCTTTGCATTTTGGTGGTTGCAGAGATGAGCCAGAGATGCGGTTTTGTGCGCGCAGATCCAAACCACAAGAACATATGGTTTGGCTGACAGGCTCATTTTTGGAGGAGTCTCCTTGGATGTGACGCCCGGTTTGAGCTTCTTGATCAACTGCAAAGGAAAGGTCCAACTCTGAAAGCAGACGTCTTAACCTGGCCGTTCACAGCTTGAGGCTCTGTGTACCTCCATAAGACCTGAAGGCCGTTGGGGCCCGTTTGGGGGACTAACTGAACGCCTCACAAAAGCCTTGGTTGAGCCCTAGATTTTCCATGTTTGGGGAACACCTTGGCAATGGGGATCTTGGCTCGTAAGGCTGTTTTGGGGTCAGGAGGGAGTGAGTAAATCTCGTAGCTTTGAAGAGAATCGGCAAGACGCGTTTCCCGTCAAAGAGGGTCGTGAAGTCCAAAAGACTGGTTCCTTTTCTTGGGGTAGGGATGGTCATCCACCTGGTAGTAAGATCCTTGACCATTAGTGATGATCCCCTCTTCGGGCACCATGACCCAATCGGCCACCATTAAAATTCACGGAGTTTTGGCCATGGCGCACACGGCTTGGGCGGTTCCCAGCTGTGCAGTTACTTATGAATTTTAATTTAACCCACAGATCAGAACACAGATAAAAATCGCAGATCAGATGGGTGTCAGATATCAACCCACAGATCAGATCAACAGATATTAAGCTTACCTCTTAAAAAACACAACTTTTCAACTTTTTGGGTAACATGGGCTATATGTCTGTAAAAGATTAACTTCCCCAGGGCTTGGAGTTTTAAGAGGTGAGTAAGAGTTGTTCACTTTCAGCAGATCAGAAAACGGGGCAGATGGCTGGGTCTCAACCTGCGGGGTTCCCCGAAACCCGCGATATGAGGAAGACACCTGCGGGGCTTTGCGACATCTCCTTCGTTTGGGCTCTTGGCTTAGGAGGTTCTCAAAACGGACACTCAGATTCTTGGCTGCAACCTCTTCCATCTGCGTTTCTTTTTTTTCTTTTTTTTCGGGTTGAATTCTTGCGTGTCCATGGCGCCCGCCGTTTCTTCGTAGACCGCTGGCCTGGAAGGCGCGCTGGCAGCCTTCGGCTCTGGGCCGGCGGCCTTCAGTGCCGGGCCCTGAGAAACGCCGCCAGGGCGGAAAATTCAAGGCCCACGGCGGTTTTGGTGTTTGTTTCATATGTTGACAGGGGGGCGACATGTTGTTTTACGGAAAGCCACATGATTGTTTGGTAAAATGTGTGCTCTTGACAAAGTAAGGGAAGCCACGATGTGTTATTAAACAAAGAATGGAACACCTACCTCCACCCGGACACGCGGATTTCAGCAAAAAAGGCTGGTTGATTTTGAGGGGACCCCGATTGTCTTTTTTAAATATGGTTGGTCGACTTTTGATTTTTAAGGGACACCACATACTTCCACTTGCTTTATGTTTGTTTCCCTCTTGGGTTTTTAAGAAAATCGATTTCACTATTGGACAGATTGTTAATTTTCCCAGGGCCCGAAAACGCAAATGGATTCTTAGCCCACCCTGAGCCCCGGCATCCCAAAACGGACGCGGAGTCGAGGCGCTGCTGCGCTCGCGCTGGCCGCTGCTCAGCTTCTTAGGGCGGCTGCAGCCGAGGCCATGGCCGAGCCCTGCGTCCGACTGAAGTGGGTTGGAGGATGTTGGAGGTAGGGCGAGACCTTTTTTTTCTTCTTCTTTTTTTTTGGGGGGGTTCGCCTCACTTGGGATGAGAAGAAATAAATCCCGTTGAAAAAGTTTCAGTTCAAGGGAGGCATTGCGAACCACTTCACAGTTTAACACGAAAAGTCGAGTTGGACTGTGCGCGGGGACGGATCACTCCGGAAGAAAGTCCGCAGGGTGCAGATTCGGTTCATTGCAATCCTTGCCTCCGGACAGCGCCTGGAGACCCTTACAGCCGAGCCGAGCGGATTTCCCGCAAAGACCAAATTTGAGGCCATGACGCTGAGGATGGCGTTTTGGGGTGCTTGTAATGTGTGCCCCATATGAATTTCAACCAACCAGTGAATAAATATGGGGTAGAGTTAGGATACATTTTACAAGTAAATCAAAGTAAAGCAAACAAACAAAATATACATTCTAGAACTGGGCCTAACTCGAATCATGTTTCTTAATACGGGGGTGCCGCACTCCAACAGTGGTCTGATTCCCGACTAAACCCAACAAAAAACAGACACACAGACACCCCAATTAATTCACCGGGGTTGATAAATATGGGGTCAGGATTACTTGCCCAAAGGGACATTGAACAAGACTCATGGACATTTAGACGGGTCAGAAAATGGTGCCTGCTGCTTGGGAGATGCAATGACCCCTGTGGGGTTCCTCTTGGGTGTTTTAATTGCTGGAGTTGGAACCTTTCACTTGTTCTGCAGATTTTAGTTTTGTTCTACTATTATTCTCGTGGGTAACCCCTGTATTTTCATTTTGGCAAGTGGGCTTACTGTTCATTGGAACTGCGCAAGTTCTGACGAGCTCACCAATGGGGGGACAACCTGTTTTAGGTATGGCATTCTGTTCTTTAGGAAAAGGGCTTAGGGTTTAGGGAAAAGGGCCAGGCCAGCACCCTTCTAACCTCACCGCCAGAAGCGAGAAGCCTTGACCAAAAACTGGTTGGCCCAGTAAGCAGGCTCCCATATCACCCCCCCTCAGTACGCAAAAATCGGGGTGTGTGTACTAGGGGACACCAACAAATGGGCGGTTTCTCGTATTGTCACCTCCTGAGCTCACACGGACTTTTGTCACTTTTTGGGTTTGGACCATTTTAGTGGCATGCAAAAAGAATGGGAGCTTCTTTTGGGCCATCAGGGAGTGAGTTTCTTTCGCATGTTGTATGAAGTAAGGTGCTTTCAATCAATGAGTAATATACCACCATGTCTTATTACAGAAAGAAACACATATTCTCCCATGATCCACCTTTCCACCTTTCCACCTTTGCACATCTTCCATTTTTGCTGAACCTGCGGTCCCCTGGTGGCTTAATTTGATTTCGGAACCCCCTGAAAGGTGATCGGTGGACATAAGTCCCCACGTCCACCAAAGGGTCCCAAACTAAGATTCATGCACCCATATGTGTGTTTTTTTGGGATGGTGGTTTCCCTTCAAAGCCGTCCCAACTTGATTTGCCCCGCGAATCGCCAGGCCGCTCACTCCGCCCGTTTCCCCGCCCGCGGTGGTGTCCTGGTCCTCTCGTGAGGCCGCGGGGCGCGGGGCGTGGGGCGTGGGGCTGGCGCTAAAAACCGTGCCGTCGCCTTATATTCCGATGGTTGTTCGGGCCCCCCCCAGAAGGGACCGCCCAGAAAAGGAACCCTATTAGCCCCTGCAGTCGCTATTAGCCCTATTGGGATTCCAATAGATTGGGGGCCCTGAACAACCTTGGGATATGTAGGTTTTAGTCGTTTTTGGTTGGTTTAGTGGTTGGGTTTCCGCATTTCACCCACTAGAGTCTCCAGTTCCTTAGGTTTTGAGTTGCTTTTAGTCGATTTCGTGGTTGGATTTCTATTTAACCCACAAACAGTTATTCACTTTTAGCAGGGATCTGAAAACGGACAGACCCCGTTCGGGTCCCCAAGGAAAGCCAAGCAACACCGCGAATTGCCTGAGTCCCCTGAGAAGAATCAGAACATATCTAGTAGTGATAGGTTCCAAAACCAATAGGGGACAGTTATAACATATTCTTAAACAACTGAAAGACGAGGGATATGATCCTGTACTCCCCCTGCAGTTTCACGTGGAACCAACACATGCAAAAACAAGTCAAGACCCCTTGCAGGGGTTGGGGATTTGCACAAGTTTGAACCAGCACAGCACGCGATTTGCCTGTTTGGAGATTGCTAATTTCTGGTTTTGCGAATCACCCTCCCACCCTTTTCACATGGAAACTGAGGTTCGGGTCCTGGTTTGAACCATTTTCCCTTTAAAGGAACCGGGTCCCGAGTAGAATGATTCACCCCAGATATTATGTCGAACCAGGCCTTCAGAGTGGGGTTCCCTTGAAGTGTGAAATGGCTATTAGGGTCAAAACTAGCCCACCAGGAAATTGGACCGCAGGTTTTCTTGGTCTTTGGTTCCATTTACCTGGGCTCTTGTTGGGCCACAGCCAAATGCCGGTGTTCGTTTTCGTTTTCGAAGCGCATAGATACTGCCTCGTCTCAAGCTGAATTCTTCACTCATCCAGGCAGAGCTGGGGGGCATGAACTGGGCGGAGCACTTTGCCACGGAGGCGCCTGGGCCCAGTGCCGCGGTTGCGCCACGGCAGCCGATGATTGAGAGAGCTCCTAGCCCTGTCATGACTTTGACTGTTTTGGAGGGTGTTCAACGTCAGACACTCGAATCGGTTGTTTCCCTTAGGACCCACACTTAAGGGGGGTGACTTTGACCATGGAAAAATCGTGGGCAGGACCACCTTCTTCACTCCTGGGATAGAACTTTCCAGCATACGTTTTGAGCATACCCAAGACCCCCTGTGAAACGAATCCTCATCATTTGAGGGTTGGGTTCAACAGTTCTTGGAAGGGTTTAGAACCCCTGAGGGTTTCTTCAAGAAACTGCTGAAGTGACATACGCTGATGTTCAAGCAGATGCCCCTGTTGCAACCACCAAGTTTGGTTTATCCCAACTTGGGGAACAACCCTTTTGTGGACCCCCTAAACCCCCTTGGCTGAGGGAGGGGTGGGAATTCCATTTACTTTTGTGGGGGCTGGGCAAATTGGAATGGAGCTTCCCCTTGCAAGGGATCCTTCTGCAATTCAAGAGGTTCCAAGCGGGCGGGCCAACTTACACACCTCAAATGGATTCACTGCATTCGGGTGTAAGCTCACATGCGGGCGCCAAGTCATATGGGTTGAGTGACAGTTGAACATTTGGTTTGGTTCAGCTGGCTGGCCATTAGCGTCAAGCTGGGGGCTGACGCAATGGCTTACATTTCAAATAAAGAATGAAAGAGAAGACCCACAGTTGGGAGATGGGGTAAAACAGAATTGGCCCGCATAATCAGCCCTCTAAAATTGTTGCCAGCCTTTGTTAGAATAAGCTTCGCCATGCCTTACAACAGGAATCCTAGGCATGACTCCTTTAGATGGACTGTCTGGTTATGGCAACCTGGGATGCTGAGAATAAGCCATTTTGTGCACCAAGTCGAATCCATCCCGGTCCCAGCATTCTGCTCGAGACAGAATTTGTGTTGCAGGAAGGTCGACTAAATCCCCAAGGGACGTTGTGAATCACCCAATCGTCTCAAAACGGATCGAGCAACCGAACCCAAACGTCAGGGGATCTGTACAGCCCTCAGCTTCGGGCCGACTTGCATACCACACATGGACATACCCCAAGATTAGCGGTTTTACGTGGGTTATACAGGGTACGAGCTTTCCGGCGGCGCTGTTGGCGCCAGCGATTTGACAAAGTGCACTCTGGAAGCCGATGATGTAGGGCTCACCCTCAAAGCTGATGATGCAGGGTATTGAACCAGCTGCTTTGTTGGCGGCTGGCTCGGCCGAAAATTGAGCAGCGATTGCAAACACCTCGCATCACTCAACTAGGTCCTCCAGTAGAGAGGTTAGAATAAGGGCACCCGTTTTTTTGTTTCTTCTTCTTTTTGTTTCTGTAGTTTATTTTAGTAGGGGAACCCTCCCCCAAAAAAGGATGAGAAAGGGCACTACTGGGGGACCTAGTCAAACTCCAAATCCGGGTTTGTGTGCCGGGAATTGGTTCATCAGAGCTTGGACCAAACATGAGCCACAATCAGAACCCGGGTTGATGAAGGCTAAGGGACAGTCCGCAGAAATCTCTGTGGATATCCGCCCTCTCAAAAACGTGCATGGGTTCTGGGCCCATCACAACCTTTGGTTCACCACCTCACGACATGTTCCGACGGTGAGTCTCCCTTTGAGTCGTAAAGGTGCCCTGCAGAAAATGAAAGAAGCCACACCCAGGTTGTCTAAAGGGTTTAGCCATGCAGCAACTTGGTGTTGTGCATTTCGCCATGTAGCTTCCGAAAGGAGAACACCCCGGAAGACCTGTTCCGAGGCAAATTTTCCTGGTGGCTTCCCGGTTTCGTTTCGGAACACGCAGCCCCGCGGAGCCGTCGCGCGCCAGGTCTTCTCCGGTCTTGAGGGCCCGGCCCCGAGACGGCGCAGACAAAGGAGAGTGTGTGACAAAAGGAAGCTGGTGAACCCCCCCCAAGCCAAAAAAAAACAGGTCAACACCTAAAACTGCTAGTTTCGCTCAAACTGTTTCTAATTAAAACCGGGTGAACCCCTAAACCAGGTTATGTCACTCAACCTGTTTTTTTGAATGTTGGTCCACCGTTGCTTTGTTTGAGTTGGTACCGTGCTTGACTGCCCTAGGCGTAGAGCTGGAGCCGGACTTGGAGTGCGCCGGTCTTGAGATCGTTTCGAATCGCCGGGGTTGGGACCCACCGCCAAGAGTTGAAAGCATCAATCGAAGGTTCATCCATCGTAGGAGCCTCATTTGTTTGGGCCTTTTTTGGGCCTCTTGGGCCTCATATTTTCGGGTTTCGTTGATACCGCTTTCATGCTCGGCTTGGGTTTACCTTTAGATTTACCCAAACGACAAAGGGTGTCCTCAATGCCGCACACATTTGGGCGGGGTGGGTTCACGATGTTCCCTTCAGCCGCCCCAAATTTGGCAGAGGAGGGATTGCCATGGCGCGCATTTGCCCTCAGTATCCCCCCAGTATATTTATTGTGTACATATGTTGTTGCAACGACGTCACCCGTGTTGAAAGGATACCTGCCCGTGTTGCAGCGAAGCTATACATTCAAAGAACCGTGAAGCCATTTGGAACCCAAATCTGAATATCTCTCCGGTGGGTTGGGCTTTTCTCAGGGAGGTTCAACCGCTTGGGGAATGAGCACTTAGATTTTGTCCCTACTCACAACCAAGTTCTGAACCTAAACAGGAATGTTGAGTGGACCTCAAGAGAGTATCCTTGAATAAATCCTGCACCCATGCACCCATCAGGTCAGGCTTTTCTCCCAAAGGGGTTAATGGGTCTGTGTCAAAATAGGGGACCCCCCATACTGGGGGCAGCGGTTTGTCTGTTGATTTCCTTAAAGCGGGTACAGGGTATTTTTTTTCCAACACTCACACACACCCACACGCAGACGCGCACACCCGTACAAACGCACACAAATCCCAAGCAATTAAAAGCCAAAGACCGTCTTTGCTGCCTGGAAAGAAGACATATCAACAGGTCACCTGGCTGTCAGAACAGCAGCCGGCCCAAAAGACCTCAAACGTTTACTCGAAGAACAAAAACCATAGAAAACAAAAAATGAAAACAAAAAATAAAACATGGAATCCAAAAATGCCCAGTCTAGGGATTTGCATTTTCGGATATTCCGTGTTGGCATCCATATTCCATGTCAACAGGGAATCCATGCAACATGGTTCTAAAGGTAAATAGTTTCATTCATCATTTGCAAGGAATCTCCTGTTTTGGGACCTTGGGTTCCATGTCAAGAGTTTCATGTTGGTTCCTTTGATTTCACCTAAATGGCCATTTGCGGGGCCCAGATTACACAGACACCGCATGATTTTGGGTCGTCCTGCCGTGCCTTGCCATTTGCTCGAGGGAGGAGCCCACCCAGAGGGCGCCCGGCGCTTCCGCCAGAGATGCGCACTCGGGCGTGCCTTTTTTCGGGGTACCCCCGAAATGCACCAAACAGGCGTTGGTACCCTCGGAAAGGACAAATGCTCCCGAAAAAAGCGGCGCAGGCTTGAGCCCTGCGGAGAAATGGTCAAAGGATAGTCACCAATCGGCTTGCCAAGACTTCAAAGGACACGATTCGCTTCAAACGTCAAATTATCGAGAAATTGGGGGAGACGTCGCATGAAGCAGATGACAGGCAAACATCCCGGAATCCCCTGTTGAAATGCGAGACGAGCTCGACCAACAGGTGCGTAGGGTGTTCTTGCTTGATCTTTGGTTTGGCCTTTGAATCGTTTCAAATCATGACAGCCATTTCCCTCCCAACTAGCAAGCATTCTTTTTTACACCTACAACTTAGAAGCCACTTTCTTGCTTGGGCTGGTTGCAATGGGCAACTCAATCGAGCCGAAATCAACACTCGGGTGCATAGAATCGAGAACATCCCCGACCAGAATCACTGCACCTTTCTTTGCCAGGATTCAAAGGAGGTCCCAGTGACACCAATTCAAGGCCCCCAAGTTCGATCACTCGCGCTGAGCCATTCGCTTGCATGGCCTGCGCCGCATGTCGGAACCTCAGCGTGCCGCAGTTTAGCATTGGTTCCACCGAGACTTTCGATTGCCAACCAACCAGGCACCATCAGAGTTGGCTGACGTTTGGGTCATCCACCGCATCTTATTTTTTCTGAAAGTGGAGCATATCACTTTCACCTTGGCAGATTCTTGCCGGGTTGTCATGCGTTGTCCTTTTAGAGCTATTTTCTTTGAACAATCAACGGTTCCTCCAAAAAAGGGTGGGTTGAAATGTGCTGCCAAAAGGAAGCAAGGTCAGCCCTGTCTTTTGTATCCCCGCCATCTCACAAAAGATCGGGAAGTCCAAGTTACACATCAGTGGGCCCCGCTAGTTTTTTCATATGGATGTGTCTGGGACTGTTGGTTAGTGTCCTTTTTGGTCTCCCTGTGCCATCCAACACTTTACTGTTCCTCGCAAGTGTTGTGTTGTTGTCTGGTTTTTTCCCCACCCGACAGGAAGGGGTTGTTAGATTTTATGTTGGAATCCGCGTTTGCGCCAGAGCAGCTGCCCAGTGGATCCCGCCGAGTATCCCGCCAGAGCGGCTCGCCAGTGGATCCCGCTGAGTATCCCGCCAGAGCGGCTTGCCAGTGGATCCCGCCGAGTATCCCACCAGAGCAGCCCGCCAGTGGATCCCGCCGACTATCCCGCTGAGTATCCCAGAGTAGCTCGCCAGTGGATCTCGCCGAGTAGCCGGCAGTAATTAGCTCGTCAGTGGATCCCGCCGAGTGTCCCACCAGAGCAGCCTGCCAGTGGATCCCGTCGAGTATCCCGCTGAGTATCCCAGTAGCTCGCCAGTGGATCCCGCCGAGTAGCCCGGGGCCCGCTGAGTATCGCAGAGTAACTCACCAATAAATCGCGCCAAGTATCCCGCTGAGTATCCCTTGCTGGTGGATCTTGCCGAATATCCGGCCAGTATCAAGCCGGAGCGGCTCGCCAGTATTCGCCAGTGGATCCCGCCAGTATCCCGCCACACCAGCTCGCCAGTCTGGTTTTGCTTAATGTCCCGCCCGGCGCACAGTTGGGTTTACACTTCATGTTGGTGCCTTCGTGTTTTGAGTGTACCCTGAGGCTCGGAAAGGGTGATGCTTTTGTGTTGCTTTGGGCTGTGAATAGGCAACTTTGTTTAATCCCCCGTCGGGTTTCTTTTTGGAAGGGGCTTGGCTTTTGTTGACGGAACCGATTTTTGAGTTCTCGAGATCGGCACGCAGACAAGTGGAGTTTGACACTCTGCAAGGCTTGTTGAGCAGTCATAGGCCCCAAAAGCCACTCGAAAACCATGCTTGAATTCACACAACCGTGTTCACGGTCGTAAGCTCGTGAGTGTGGAGGGTGGGGATTGCTTGAAGCGAAGTAATTGGTTCTGCTCATTTTTTAAAAGTAGGGGGCTGCAAAAACCATGTGTTTTGTGCTACCAAGTGGTGAACCTGCATCATGGGCTCCTTGAGGAGCACGCGAGGGCCCGGCACCTCCGCGCAGGCGGTGGACGGGCCATGGGGAGTCGGTGGTTTGGAAGGGTTGGGTTCGACCCCCAAAGACTTTTGAAGCTAAATAGGGAACAACCAAACCAAACCACCAGTAAAAGCAAATTGAGCTCATAGGTGTCCGTTTGATCAGTTCGTTTGGTGAGAGATAGATGGGTTCCTCTGGTTTAGGTTGATTTTATGCCCTGTTTGCCGGGGAAGCCCGTCGTTGTCTTACCCAAAAGGATCAGTGGGGCCGGCTTTTGGATGGAAACCAGAATGTTGAAAAACACCCACAAAATGGTCCAAGAAATAGTTGTGAACAAGTTGCGGAGGTCCTGAAAATCAGCAAGCCTGATTGTCGGACACTTGGTTTTAGGTTGCCCCTTTAAAGCGAGACAGTGATGGGAATGTCTGCATGTTCATATCAAAGTGGCGATGTCACAATCATGCAGGAGTCGGGCATGCAAATTTTTGCGGGTTCGCTAACAATTGGGGGAGCTCTTTCTGGAAAACCTGCAAATGTGCGGGGTCACTAAAACTTGGGGAGCCCTTTTTGGATGGTTTTGAAACCAATCCCACAGGACACCAACCTGCTGAAGGGGTCAGGTCCCCTGTGAGGGCCCGGGTCCTTGTCCGTATGGTTGTCGTTGGTCGCCGCAGCGAACCGGTCCGTAAACTGCAACGTGTTGTTCTCCTGGGCCCCTGCTGTGAATGAACGAAGCCCATTTAGTGAGACGTATAATCTTTGTAGTGGTTTCCCCCCCCCCCACTTGTCATCCTATGTAAAGCACCCATGTGTTATTCGGTTGAAGTTGCACTCTGTTCTCGTCCCTGACTCGGAAATAGATCCAGCGGCTTCGTGCTGAGAACTTTGGGCTCGTATGCAGCTGGTTTCAATCTAAGGTACCCTGGTTTCTGGGATGCTTTTGGGGAGTCGCAGGGAAGTTCTGAAACATCAGTGAGATCTCGTGCCGCAAGGGACACCGCCAGCCCTGCATGAACCATGGGAGATATGTTGTAGGTAGTATCATTGTTGCTAGTCGGTGGTAATAGTTGGAGAACTTTTGAAATGGGACACCCACCAAATCAAAATCAAGCAAGGGATTGTTTTGATCAGCTAGTTGTCCACTCGTTTGCACAGACCCCCTGTCGGTAATTTCTATGTCCAGCCGGAACCGGCGCCGGAACCGGCCAGGCCGCGAGACCCTTCAGCCTTTCTGAGCGGGTCTGCGTGTGGAACTCGGAGGGGTCTCTGCCAGGTTTGTCTTTGGGCCAGAATGCATGGGTTTGTCTGAGGGGGAATCTTACTTCACTTGAATTTGGAGTCTCCCTGGTGAATTGTGCTTTGGATTCCACTTTTGCAGGATCCAGGCCCACCCAGCAATTGGGTACGTCTTCAACTTGAGAAGGTCGATTCAGTGGACAACAAGCAGTTTTGACGATTTTGTAAAAATCCACTGAAGTTGAACATCAACTCGATCAGGGTGACAGCGCAGACTGATGTCGGAGGCGTTTTTGGGGCAAGCCCGAATAGAAACCCCAATAATGGCGGTCTAAACGCCCAGTTCTGTCACGGGTCATGACTATCCCTACCAGCACCTATCATGGTTTCTCGAAATAGGGGTGCCCAAAATGGTTGGTTCCCTTTTTGGTTTTCTTTCCG